ATAACGCCTGCTCACCTGCGGTAGATAAACAAACGGGTTGAGGTGTTGCATCCTGGCAGTGCTGCCGTGCCCTATAGATTGAGTCGAGGGGTGTCCAGTCTTTATACCACTCCAGTCTGCCAGCAGCGCCGTCTTCACGTTGTGGCGATCAGCGTCGGCGCATGAAGTCACCGAGGCAGGCCTGTTTCCAGGCAAATCGCCGAGCGTAGATTCCAAGTGCGCAATGCGCACATGATGCGCTTGGTGGCTTGGAAGTGGTGCGCCGTCGTATCCAGATAGCAGAGCCGGTTCTTCGCCTCCTGCTTGTGCGAGCAGCAGGACGCCAAATATCTGCGGTAGATAAACAAACGGGTTGAGGTGTTGCATCCTGGCAGTGCTGCCGTGCCCTATCACTTATAACTTACCAATGGGCCAGCGTTTGAATGTGCGCGGTTTTTTTTTTTAAAGTTAAGCGAATAGCTTCAAAACGTTCTTGAAGGGCTTCTCATTGAGTGCGGGTACAGTGCAAGTGTGGGTTCACTTATTGAGAGGACCTGAAAACTGACCCAAGTGAGCAACCGAACGCTTTATCAGTGAAAAGCAGAGGCGGACGACGCCGGGAAAAGTACTACCTCCGAAGAAGCATTCTTGTGGAAAAGGCCTGGATCAGACGAAACAGATGAACGATTTTGACCTCAGTCTTGCGAAGAGTGGTGCATGGCTTTCTCGAGAAAGGCGCAACTCCAACTATCACAAAAGTGGTGCAGCGTTTCAAAAAATTTCCACGCCTGCGCAGAAGGCGCTACACAGTCACAGCGAAAGCTAGACGAGCAGCTTTTCAGAGCCTTTTCTAAACACTCGTTGGGTAACTGCTGCAAGCACAACTGCTGAGCACCCACTACGGCATTAATAATAATAACTTCTGGGTAGTAGGCCGGCTTCGTTATGCTATCCTTCGTCATTTTTTTAGAAGTGTGGCATCCGCTAAACACTTGCAAAGAATTTTGTGCCAATTGTTCATGCAGTTCCTCATGACGATGAGATGTTATGGCTGAAGTGGGTATGCGCCACAGTTATGCGCATAGTGGGTATGCGCCACAGTGGGTATGCGCCAAGTGGGTATGCGCCACAGTGGGTATGCGCCAAGTTCTCAGAAACAAGCTTTTGTCATGGGTTGGAGCATTGGACGACCAACTCGTTACGCTATTTGCATTGCGGGACCCCTGGCTGTTCTTTGATGTTCTAAACACTTTATTACTCATACTAAAGTGATTCCTTTGCCGGCATCAAGCCCGGCTAAGGCAACTTTGCGAACAAGTCCCAAGCGCCGGCATAGCTGAGTGGTAAAATACTGGGCTGTCATGCAGCGAATCCGGGCTCGAGCCCCACTGTATTCTTGGTACTAAGTTTTCTGTTTAGTGCAGAGTAGTTACGGACACCAGTGGCGGCGGCGAACAACTACAGCGCGGCGTGTGACCAGAGTTGTGATCTCATAACAGCTTTCACTGTAAAAGGATGAGACGCTACCGATCGTGTCCATGACGACAATGCCGAGGTTGTCGAAAAAAATGGCAGCGTATCCACGGAGTGAATAATGGAGAGTGGGGCTACGCATTCGTCCATCCATTCGTTGTTGCTTCCGTCCGTCCATGCATCCGTCTTTGTGACATTCCATGCGTCCATCCGCCCGTCCGTGCGTGCGTCTGTTCCTGCGTTCGTCCCTGCGTTCGTTCATGCATCCGCCCCTGCGTCCGTTTATGCGTCCATCCATGCATCTGTCGGTAAGTCCGTTCGTCCATCTATTAAACGCTCCAAGTACCACCATATCGCATCTTTTCATCATATATTCCCCTTACAGAAGCACCAGCATCCAGCGGACATTCCAAGGACAAAACGAGAGGTGGCACACGCACACTTTCTTACGGCTTGCGCTTCGGGTCTACTTCCCACCTTTAACCACCTCAAGTTCATGGTATATACTAGTTCACTGTATTCATGGCACTGTGGCCCAACGCTCGCTAAACCTTTCTAAAGCCAAGTAGATTACGCCCAGCGAGTATACCGTAGTAACCTTTTACTGCCAGATAGTGCTCAATGTAGATGCCAATGGCTGCTAATGGGAAATGAGAGACAGGAGAATCCAGGTTTAACTTTCTTACGGCTTGCGCTTCGTATCTACTTCCCACCTTTAACCACCTCGAGTTCGTGATATATACTAGTTCATTGTAATCATGGCACTGCGGCTCAACGCTCGCTAAACCTTTCTAATTTTAAGGAGGTTACACCCAGCGAGTATAACGTAGCAACCCTTTCTTGTCAGACAGTGCTCAATGTACAAGCCAATGGCTGCTAATGGGGACCGCAGCGTGCGCGTTAACTAAAAGCCGAACGCTCCTGTCTCTCATTCCCCCTTAGCAGCCATTGGTACGTTGAGCACTATCTTTTATTGTTCAACAACGCACAGAAGAAATCTGTCAACGGCACCACCTTGGAGATCAAAATGTTATACTTTTTACACACTACAATGGCTACGAGGGACGAACGGGTGTCGCTATACACTTTTCACAGGAAGGAAAAAAACACCGCCATGATGGGCTGTGCGCGGGAGTACAAAGGCTAAGGGCGCAGCGTTGTCAGTGCATTTTTGAGGGCATGCGCCAATTTGCACAGCCCAAGGAGGGCTATGGCGGTGCCCTGGGAGGCGTTTATGAAAAGGTGAATAAGGAGCGTCGCCGCTAAAACGCTTTACTTAAAGTGCAAGAAGCGCTCTCTGAACGCCCTTCTCACAGAAGCGATCAACGCACATAGTCCAGTCGCCGCTGGTAACTGTGCGAAATAGCGGAGCTCCAGTGACAGGGCCCAACAATCAATACATACGTGCGTTCAGGTCGGGATCATTGAGCACTATAGCGAAAGCAGCCAAAAGTGAAACAGAACATTTGCTATTAGGTCAAGTATCTACATAGTGACTTCTGAGGGGTTAAAATGCATAATCTTCAGATTGACTTTTTCAATGATTCATTTCCTAATTTCACCAGTGACTGAAGTAAGTATTTTTATACACGTTGCAGAACCAATTTTTGAAAAACTCCCACCAGAGGAGAACTCATAGGCCGCGGCGACGATAACATAAACTGAAAAAGCCTGAGAAGTTTCATTGCAACGCGGGTCGTCCCGTCCGTAAATAAGCAAAACAAATCAAACAGGCACTAAGCGTCATATGTTGCAAAGATCAGAAGATAGTATTTCACACCTACTCTCCACAGACAGGGCCACCTGTCGAATTAACAGACGCGAAAAGCGCGTAGGAAGTGCGCCTCGTCAGGATTGGAGAAAAGCGCCTGTACCTTCCACAACGCTGCCAACAGCTTCATAAACGGAGTATAGTGCACCAGTAGACGCTCTTGGAAGGAGCCGTGTTACGCATAATAAAATGAGGCATTTACAAGCGGCACTCGTTCATATAACAGAAAAACAGTCACGACAAGTGAAGTAAGCGGTAATGGCGGAACCAGCCTGTGCACCAATGATGATGATGATGATTCCACAGCCATGGCTCGTACCCGCTTAGAGGAATCGGCCAAGAATCGATGACTTAGTTCAGTGAGATTCTTTTTATTCGATATTGAAACCATTCACCGGAGAAAAAAAGACAGAAAAAAGAAAAGACACCTCAGGCAGAATGAACGGAGTGAAATAGTTGTTTGTCGCTCGTTCAGATCAGACAATCATTTATTACCTTGAATAGGAATTAGCGTTGTTAAGCAAAGCTCCTGTTTATGTTGGGAAATTTTCGCAGGAATAATAATCACTCAATCAAAAGATTATTTCTTCTACTTTTATTAAGGTACTTGCAAACTGCATAGAAAACGTTCTCGTGGCCGAAGCCCTGATCAGAAGCACCGAAGGAAAGTATATTTTCTGTTGTGAAGTTCAGCCCCAGGCTAGCGAATGAGCGGACTAAGAGTATTTTTTCGAGCAATTTGTATCGGCGACATGATAAAAAATGGTGCGCTATTGTTTCTGATTTTTAACAAAAGTTGCATAGCGGTGATATCGCTAGACCAGCCCTATGTGAATAGATATTTAACGGGGGGACACGAGATCGAAATCTGGTTATTATTGTTTCCAACTGTCTTGTAGGACATGAATGAATTTTCCACAGAACTTTTAAGTGAGTAAATTCTGGTGTTGGCATTACTGCTTCCATAGCATCTGCACGAAGCGCAAGTTTTCTGTATCTTGTCTTGTCTTGTCTTGTCTTGTCTTGTCGCCTAGAAGATCTTGGCTCATACCCACAAGGGGGATTGGCCACACTGTGCCTTATAATAGATATTTTTTATACAACGCTTGCTAAAAAGAGAGAAATTAGATAAAACAATAATAATGTTCCCTTGAAAAAAAAACGTGCAAAAGTGCAGAAGAATTCGATAAGCCAGCATATATATAAAACAAATTAGCAAAAATGAAGAAGGGGGGAAAGAATTCGATATATCTTGTCGCACCGAGCAACCAAACGTCGTCTTGTTCACAGTCTGAGTGATACCCTCTGCATTTCTAAGTAGCCCTCATCTTCTTCCCTACTATAAGTTTATCGTTATGTTCAACAGCTGTGCGCTGAAGTCATCCTTCGCGTGCGCTGGAGGCAAATACGCCTGGATGTTCTATTCGCGTTTGAACAGTGAACCATTTTAAACCGGAGGTAAGGTGTTATCAGTGGGCGCAAACAGCTTCCTCGCTGAGTGACGAGGTCAGTCACACAGCACGTGTGCATTATCGATCTGCTGTTTGGATCACGTACGGCCACCTAACCTGCACGCGCTCTTTGAATCTTCCGTTTCCAGTTTAATGCCTTGTATTCATATATAGAATCCTTTGTCGTACGCCTCCCCGCTCTCAGTACCGTGAGTGGCTGTTTTTATAGAAGTCATGAGGTGCCTCATCAATATGCATGGTTGTCATGGCATCCACTTTAGTGTATTTGTTCATGTGTTGTAGCCAGCTGCTTCTGTTTTATGCAGGTGCCTTCCGGGATGCGAGGGGATCGTACGACAATCTCTACCGAATGTGTGCCGCGGTGGACCTGTTCGCCACACTGATGGTGGCTGCCCAAGCCTGCTTTGACGCCAGGATGAGAAAGAAAAATGTACAAATGCTTTAAACGACCTAAGTTTAGAAACATCCGCAGGAGTTTAAATAGGTGTGTTTAGCTCATGCAGTGGTCATGGTATTTCCCAGTTGCATAGATCCACTGAAAACGTAAAGAAGTGCACTCAGAAGTATGGCTGAGTGATAACCTTTTACCGCTCAAAATAGAAGAATGTCAATACAATTAACCTGCTTGAAAATTTGTCTTCTGTCAACATTATTGTTGAAATACTATAGACAAACTAAACTGTCACGTGCACGCATACTGATTCAGTGGAAGGATTCGCGGACGAAATTAAAAATTATTTTGCAGTTGTTATTCTCTTTGTTTCACACACACACACACACACACACACACACATATATATATATATATATATATATATATATATATATATATATATATATATATATATATATATATATATATATATATATATATATATTGTGATGTAACAGTAAAGGCAACCTTTATTAGGTCCGGAAGACACGATGAAGCGACCACGCCCAAAGCACAGAACTCAGACAAGCCAAGTCCCCACAGCAGAAGAAGATGACGACCACTCATGATGATGAATATGTGTAAAGATAGATGATGTGCTTAATGAATGCCTACACTAACTTCCCCCCACGTGAAAGCGGTCATCCTGACCGCAGTTCTTGGCCGCATTTTAAAGCGAAGATGAACGCCGTATGAAAGGCTTCATGCGGGATACGTGGACTATTTCTGCTGCCCTGTAGCGGCGGTCCGTCGGAAGAAGAACGGGTGCCACGCGATAATTCACAGGAGACGTTTGCTCCAAGACAGTGTAGGGGCCAATAAAACGTAATCGAAACTTCTCGCACAGTCCGGTAGTGCGAATGGGTGTATGAAAGAGGACTTCGTCGCCAGGGCTGAAAGACACGGCACGATGAGAGGCATCATAATCAAGCTTGCGATCCTGTTGCTTGGCTTCAGTGTTGACGCGAGCCAGCTGGCGGCAATGAAGTAGACGAGACACGTATTCTTCACTTGAAGATGAACATGGTTTGACAGGCGCAGAGAAGAACGAAACATCGAGGAAAGAAGAGGGGAAGCGACCGTGGACGAGGTAGAAGGGCGAGTAACCGGTTGTGCGCTGTACACAGGTATTATACGCTTTACTGTTACATCACAATATATATATATATAATGTCTCGAGCAAAAACAAGATCTGCAGCCAGGAGTTCACCCGAACCGGAGCAACCAAAACGTTCTCTTCTTCTTCGTAGCCCAAAACGGGTATGAGCCACAGCGGCTCGTTCATCAATGGTGGCATTACCCCCTCTCCCAAGAAGCATCTTCTCGATGCTGTACATGAAGGCAAAAAAAAGAAAATGAGATGAAAATTACCATGCAAGCAAAATGAATGGCGTAAGGCGGAATAACATAGTTGGTTGTGGAGTCAACAGTTAAATGAGAAATAAGAAAAATAGGAAAGAATGTAAGGGAGAGACGAATAAAGTCAGTCAATCTCTGGCGATTCACAGCGCGAAAAGTATGGTTTCAGCCGTGAAACGTGAACGACTTCAGTTCGCGGGGTGAAACGGGAACGTCTCGAAGTGCCTTCTGGGAGAACCTCGTATGTGACGTCGCTGAGACGTTGTACGACCTTGTAAGGGCCGAAGTAGCGGCGAAGAAGCTTTCCTAAACGGCCACGTTGTCGGATAGGGGTCCACACCCCGACTTCATCACCGGGCTTGAAAATAACTTCACGGTGACGAAGATTGTAGCGGCGTGCGTCTGCACTTTGGTGATGTTGAATACGGTAACGAGCAATTTGACGGACCTCTTCTGCACACTGCGCGAATTTGGCGGCATCGGTGCGGTATGTTCCTAAGTTGTCGGGCAGGAGCATGGCGTCGAGCATCGTCGTGACCTCGCGACCGTGGACTAAGCGAAAAGGTGTGAAACCGGTACTTTCTTGAACAGCAGTATTATACGCAAAAGTTACGTAGGGAAGTATGGCGTCCCAGTTCTTGTGATTGATGTCCACATACATTGACAGCATGTCTGCAATTGTCTTATTGAGTCGTTCAGTCAGCCCGTTTGCTTGCGGGCTCCAAAAAGGACGTTTATCCTCTACCCCGGATAGATGACTCGTTGGACCGTATACGCAACGCTAAATATTTTTCTTCCATGGATTTACGTAGCGGCTACTGGCAAATCGCAGTGGATGAGCGCGACCGCGAAAAGACGACGTTTATTACTCCCGACGGCCTGTACGAGTTTAAAGTGTTGCCTTTCGGTCTATGCTCAGCGCCAGCTACTTTCCAAAGAATGATGGATACGGTTCTCACAGGGCTCAAATGGCAATCATGTCTTGTTTACCTTGATGACGTCGTGGTCTTTGCAGACACGTTTGAACAACACGTCCAACGCCTTCAGGCAGTACTTCAGGCAATCAGAACAGCGGGGCTTTCTCTCAAACCCGAGAAATGTCATTTTGGATATGAAGAACTGAAGTTCCTTGGTCACGTTGTGAGCCATGCCGGCATCCGCCCAGATCCGGAGAAAACCCGTGCTGTTGCCGCCTTTCCCATGCCCACAAATAAGCGTGACCTACGCCGATTTCTGGGGCTCTGTGCGTATTACAGGCGCTTTGTCAAAAACTTTTCGAAGATTGCTGAACCCCTCAACAAGCTTACAAAAGACGGTGTCTCGTTTGTATGGGGTCCCGATCAGTGTCATGCGTTCGACACGCTCCGAAACCTCCTCCAGGCTCCGCCTGTACTGGGTCATTTCGACAAAAGCGCTGACACGGAATTACACACTGACGCCAGCAACGTTGGACTAGGAGCGGTATTAGTTCAGTGGCATAATGGCGTAGAGCGCGTGATCGCTTATGCGAGCGGAACGTTATCCCCAGCGGAGAAAAACTATTCTGCAACCGAGAAGGAATGCCTCGCTGTTGTCTGGGCTATAACAAAGTTGCGCCCATACTTGTATGGCCGCCCATTCAGGGTAGTTAGCGACCACCATTCCCTTTGTTGGCTCGCAAATCTCAAAGATCCCTCAGGTCGTCTAGCACGATGGAGCCTTCGGCTACAAGATTTCGATGTCACCATCGTCCACAAATCTGGGCGGAAACACACCGACGCCGACTGTCTCTCACGTGCACCGGTCGAAAATGCCAACACTGAGCTTGAAGACGACGACACTTTTCTTTCTGCCGTATCAGCAACCCGCTTAGCTGAGCAACAGCGTCACGACTCGGAGCTCATTCCGCTCATTGACTACCTGGAAAGACGCAATTCCCACCCTCCTCGAAGCTTTGCACCCTCGATATCCTCCTTTTGTTTCCGCGATGGAGTGCTTTACAAAAAGAACTTTCATCCTACACAAGCTATGTATCTGCTCGTTGCGCCAACTACGCTTCGTGGTGACATTTTACGTGCGTGTCATGATGAGCCATCGCCCGGACACCTCGGCTATACGCGCACGCTGCAACGGATTCAACGCTCCTACTACTGGCCACGTCTCGCAAAGACTGTGAAGCATTACGTTCGCACATGTCGCGACTGTCAGCGACGTAAGGTTCCACCTTTACGACCAGCGGGACTACTGCAACCAATAGGCCCACCAAAGGCGCCCTTTCATCAGATTGGCATGGACTTGCTGGGGTCATTTCCCACGTCTTCGTCTGGAAACCGGTGGATTGTGGTCGCTACCGACTACTTAACACGCTACTGTGAAACGAAGGCGCTTCCAAAAGCAACCAAAACGTTCTCTTTTCTTCGTAGCCCAAAACGGGTATGAGCCACAGCGGCTCGTTCATCAATGGTGGCATTATGCCACCATTGATATATATATATATATATATATATATATATATATATATATATATATATATATATATATATATATATATATATATATATATATATATATCTATATATATATATATATATATATATATATATATATATATATATCATCAGCCTGATTGCGGCCACTGCATGACAAAGGTCTCTATCATGTTCCGCCAGTTAACTTGGTCCTGTGCTTGCTGCTGTCAGTTTATACTCGCAAACTTCTTAATCTCATCTGCCCACCTAACTTTCTGTCTCCCCCTAACCCACTTGCCTTCTCTGGGAATCTTGTTAGTTACCCTTAATGACCAGCGGTTATGCTGTCTACGTGCTACATGCCCGGCACATGTACATTTCTTCTACCTATACCTTCCTCTTGAGGGATAGTGGCAATCTACCTGTCATAATTTGAGAGTGCTTGCCAAATGTGCTCCGCCCCATTCTTATTCTTTTAGTTACTTCAATCTCGTGGTTCGGCTCCGCGGTTATTACCTTCCCTAAGTAGACATGGTCTTTTACAACTTGAAGCACACTATTACCCATCTCAAAGCGCTGTTCTCTTCCGAGGTTGTTGTACATTACTTTCGTTTTTTGCAGATTCATTTTAAGACTCACCTTTCTGCTCTCCTTGTCTAACTCCGTAATTATGAGTTGCGATTTGTTACTAAGGTTACTAAGGTACTCTCCATTAACTCTTATCCCTAACTGTTCCCATTCTAGGCTTCTGAAAACCTTCTGTGCGCACGCGGCAAAAAGCATTGGGGAGATGGTATATACCTGCCTTACACCTTTCTTGATTGGTATTTTGTTGCTTTCTTTATGAAGCACATTGGTAGGAGCTGACCTTTGTAGATTTCTTCCAGGATCTTTATATATGCTTCATCGATACCCGGATTCCTCAGTGTCTGCATGACTGCTGATATTTCTACTGAATCAAACACCTTCTCGTAATCTATGTATAGTGGTTAGTTATATTTTGAGCATTTTTCTATTACCAGATTGATAGTATGAATGTGGTCGATTGCTGAGTAGCCTGTTCGAAATCTTGCTTGTTCCTTTGGTGTATTGAATTCAATGTTTTCTTAACTCTGTTAGCAAGTACTTTTGTAAATAGCTTGTACACTACCAAGAGCAAGCTGATCGGCCTGTAATTCTTCATGTCCTTGTCATCTCCTTTCTTATGCGTAAGAAGATGTTAGCATTCTTACAAGACTCTGGTACTCTTGCCATCAGTAGACACCTCGTGAACAGGGTGGCTAGTTTTTCTAACACAATCTGTCCTCCACCTTTCAGCAGATCTGATGTTACCTAATTCTCGCCAGCAGCTTTGCCTCTTCGCATGCTCTCCAAGGCTTTTCTGACTTCTTCTATCATTACTGGCATCAGTGTCAATATAGATTTCAAATAGGCACGCCTCGTGTCCTTTCTCTGTAACATCTTTGTGGTGGAGGTGCTTGGTACTCCCCTGTTTTCACCACGAAGCTC